TTACAAGGCCATGTTCTAACCAATTGAGCTAACTGGCCAGCCCAAGAGTATATAAAATAAGGAGTAAAAGCCTCCCAGTGACCATCCTTCCTCCTACCCCCAGTCCCACCTCTGGTTTTTAAGTAGCTGGACTTTGAAGTCAGATTAACCAGGGTCAGGTCAAACTCCATCACTTCCCAGCTGTGTCACCATGGGCAAATTTCCTACCTTCTCAAAGCTTCTCATCTTAAAAATGTGGGTAACAATGGGATCCAGCTCTTAACGTTGTTGTGAGGATTAAATAAGATAATACAATTAATCTCTTTGTACAGTGCCTGGCATGCAGTACCTATCCAGCACATATGTTAATATTTATTTTAATATCCATAATTATAGTTAATAATACTATTGTATTTTAGCCAAGGAATCATTTATATATTTATTATCTTTAAAGGAAAGTATCTGCTTCTCTTTGCTGTTCTACTTCTAAATCTTGTTGAAAATTGAGATCAGAAGTAAACTCTAGATTTCTCTGATTTCATCACTGAATAACTGGAGGTCATTAAATGTTCCCTGCAAATATTTTTAATTCTGGTATTCAAAACCAGAAGAAAAACCTTATTTACTTCCCGAATATAGATGCAAACAGAAATAAAACACAGCTGCTCTTATCTCTCCATGGGCACCATCTCTTCTTGGTATGGAAAGAAATAATGATCTTGCAGTATAATTTTATCAGGAGGTAACAAAATCAATAACATTATCTCAAGTATAAACACTGAAGGCCTTATCCCATTGCTGGTTAAGATAGGCTGTAATTGTGACAGCTGCTCACCCCCCATTATAGATTATTTTAGATGAAAGAAAACATTGACTAATAAATGAAACTTTGACAACATAGGAGAATAGATGACCTTACAGCTTACTCAAGAAGGAAATCAGCGAAACAATTGTCAGATGAAAAGTCAGCACCAAACAGCCATGGACACAAGAGAAGGTAGTGATGGACAAATTGCTTGATTCATTTTCCATTAGTAAATAGTAGAATTTTCAAAAAGCATGAAAAAAATCTGCAAAACCTTTTGGTTCATTGAAGTTCCACGTTTTCTTATAAAATATTATGAGCCATAGAGGTAAAGGGCTAAGAAGAAATTCAAGAAGTTGTTGGGATATTATTTCCATAATTGTAATGACTGTGGGATTAGTATGATCCGTTCCAAGGTACAGTGATTAATGTAGAGGACATCTGTTGTTGTCAGAGAACTTAAACTTTATATAAGATTGAATTTATAGGCATTCGAGCCCATAAAATAAAATCAATAATTATGAACCTCTATAACCAAGTCCATAAGGTTTTAGAGCCATACAAATCTGCTTTATAAACTCAACACTGACACAAGTTGAGTGACCGTGGACAAGTTGCTTAACTAAATCTCGCAGAATACCTACCAGGAAGGGTCATTGTGATTGTTAAATAACATAACTGCTAAAATTGTGCTTATCACATAATAATGCTTTGTGATAAATAAGAAGTTTCATTTCTGTTTTTCTCACTCTTCCTTAAGGTTTTCACAAGTTAATATGTTTCCGTCCTCTCTATCTGAAATAAGGTATTTATTTTAGCTTGATCCAGTGGCTCTGTACTATTTATCCCAATTATCATATAACATGTAGATGACTCTAGTCTCTGTATATCTCAAAATTAACATACATTTTAAGATTAGCACTTTGTCGAAGAGAAGGTCATTTGGAGTAACCCTTGTTTTTCTTCACTATGCTGAGAAGTTGGCAAAGTTCCATAAGTCTGTTTAATCAAAAAAACATAAATTCTTTAAAAATTAACAAGAAACAATGATATGATGTAATTT